CATTATGAAAGTACGGTACAGTGGACCCTTGAATTACAGACGGCTTGACTTACAGACTTTCTGAGTTACAGACTTCTCTGGCCGCAAAATTTAGGTTTGACTTGCAGACTGAGATTTGACTTACAGACGAGAAAAAAAACAAAATGGAACAAAAACGGCCTGTTACGGGATTAATCGGTTTTCAATGCACTGTAGGTCAATGGAGACTTGACTTACAGACTTTTTGACTTGAGAACCGCCTTCCAATACGGATTAAGTTCTCAAGTCAAGACCCCACTGTATTATCTAACTTTGAGTTGGGGAAACCACAGGAGGCCTCAGTACCAGCCCATAACCACTAGAGGGCAATGTTGACTCAACCACTGCTATAATGTAGCCTGCGTGAGCTGGAAAAAAATAGTTTTATTTTACTTAATTCTCGTTCATAGACTAATCTGGCTACTTCCACATTTTAAGCTGCTACCCAGATTCAGTGCCAACTCAGGGTTTAGATAGTAAAGAGAACATCTGCTTTGTTGTTGTTGTTCTTGTTCTTGTTGTTTTTGTTAGGTTCAAAGCAGCAGGAAAGGAAGAGCTAATATAGTTCAATGGTTTAGGTATCTGTCTGTAGAATCAGAGGGTTCAATTCCTCCCTGTGCCTCCTGGGTAAAGTGCCAGCCTGTGTGGCCTTGGGCAAGCTGCACAGTCCCAGGGCGTCTGCAGAAGAAGGGAAAGGTAAACCACTTCTGCATCTTCATTACCTGGAAAACCCTGGAAAAGGTCGGCCGTCATAAGTCAGAATGGACTGATAAGGATTAGTTTGCATTAAAGGCTGTTGGGTCTCTCATGTGCTGTCATTTCTCCAGCTTCCGTTTTGCTCTGAAAACACACACCCAGGACAAGATTACAAGCGTGCTGGCAAGCCTTCGAGTCCGAGGTCTGAGTTCGAGTCTTCGGGCCCAAGTTCCAAGCCTTGAGTCTTTTGCCCTCCCCTGCCCCCCCCCGAGGCTTGGGAGTCGGGACTCGGATGCAAAGACTCCGGGTGTACATGTGCCACCCAGCAATATAGATCAGCACATGCGCAGATACAGTGGCCTTCCCTCCCTACCGCCACCATCCTCCTCAGAGGCAGCAGGCCCAGGAGTGACCTGATGCTCCATCCACACATGTGACGCCTCCCCGATAGGCCAACGCGCGCATCAGGGAGGCCGGGGCCGGCTCCGGGAAGGGAAGCCCTGGTTCGCTGCCTCTGAAGGCGAGACGGCCGCAGCCTAAGGTATGACAGCCCATAGGGAGTTGAGAACACGACTGGGAGAAATGGGTCTGAGTCATTCATTCATTCATTCATTCATTCATTCATTCATTCATTTAATATCCTGCCTATCTGGTAGGTTAAGACCACTCTAGGCGGCTAGAGTGCATGTCCCCCAAAAACCCCAAAGTCAAATCACCCGTGTGACTTAATTCGGGCCATTCCTTCTAACCATTGACACACAAAATGATAAATTAATGTTCCCACATTCCAGGGGTTTAATCTAGGCCAGTGGCTCCCTAGCCTTGGGTCACCCGGGTGTTGGTGGGCTCCACCTCCCAGAAACCCCAGGCATCACAGCGGACAGTGAAGGCTTCTGGGAAGTGGAGTCCAAAAACACCTGGGTGGCCCAAGGTTGGGAAGCCACTGATTTATGCTGATGATCTTGCCTTGACAGTCCAGAGGAAAACCTTTTAGTCCATCCGGCACAAACTAACCTCTTCCCTTACATTATAAAAACAACTGGCTGAAACCTGGCCCTTTAAAGACATAGACCTCCACTTGGGTTTGCTGGGAAGGCCAATATTTTAGAACATTGCTTTATCTGCAAAGTATTTGGCTGTCACTCTGGACTGAACCTTAACCTACAAAAAAACTTGACTAAACACCGAACAGAAAGTTGCCACCAGAAATAACTCACTTGGGAAATTGGTTGGGTCCAACTGGGGTGTACACTCACAAACAATAAGAACAACAGCTTTGCCCCTGTGCTGTGTGGTATAAATCAACACAGGCCAAACACGTGCGTGTTGCTCTTAAATTAATCATGCAGGATGATTACTGGCTGCCTGAAACCTACCCCACTGAAAATGTTTATTATTTGGCTGGCATTGCTTCTCCAGAAGTATGCAGAGAGATGCTAGCAAATAACAAAAATAATAAATAAGGCAATACAACACCAAATCCACCCACTTCCTGGACACTAGCCCCCTCGAGAATGGCTAAAATTGAGGAAATGTTCTCTGCATATCTCCCAGGCTCTAAATATTAAACCAGAAGAGGCCAGGCTAAACCTGTGGAGAGCATGAAGCGAAGTAGGAAGATCAAAGAATTATCAAATAAAATGGGGCTACTTAGATAGAAGACGACTTTTCTGTGACTGCGGAGAAATTCAAACCATGCACATCATATGCACAAAATAAGATCTAGTAAACGGCCAAGAAAACGCTATCGAAGCAACTCACTTCTGGTCAAGATCAGTTTAATTATTATCTTAGTATTTTAATTTGTTTACATGTTTTTATATTTTATATTATGTCTCTAATTTTAAACTATGCACTCAATTTTCTGACACAAAGAAAGTCACATGCCATTTACGGCAATCCTAACATGGTTTCAATGGCATGTGAGATACGTATTTAAGGACTGTTTTTACCGTGTCTGAGTCAGGGGCTGTACCCAGGCCTCTTGAATCCATCTCTCTATCTATTCTGCCATGCAGGTGTGTCCATTAAAGGCTGCACTTGTGGAGATTTCTTCTTGTAAGCAACTGTTAAAGGTGCTTACAATAGGTGTCCTATTTTTAATCTAGTCACCCTAAACACAATGGGCAGGATGAAGCCAAAAGACCCTTTGGTTGCCCGTAGAGTTGAGCAATACTCCTACAGATGCCTACAGTGTGCTGTCTGGCATACAAGGGGTTAAAAATAATTTGACCAGGAAGGGGAGTGATGTTTTTGTCTAACAGGATTGCCCTTCGCTCCAGCGACTCTGGGCAATGTAAGGTGCAGGTGACAGTCAATGGATGGGGGGTGTTTGTGGAGATAAAGATTGCTTACACCACAGAAAGTCTTAGGCCACGGATCCTGTGATAGTCATATTAAAATGATGATGCAGAGCTGGGGGGAGAATGCAATGTCAAAGCCAAAAGGCAGTAAAGTGGTGCCTCGCTAGACAGTTACCCCGCATGACAGTTTTTTTGCTAGACATTGACTTTTTGCAATTGCTATAGCGATTTGCAAAACAGTGATTCCTATGGGGGAATTTCGCTGGACAATGTTTGGTCCCTGCTTCGCAAACCGATTTTCGCTAGACGATGATTTTGACAGCTCCCTTCGCACTCGCAAAATGGGTGTTTTTGGGGACTGTGCTTCGCAAGACAGCTTTTTAAACAGCTGGTCGGCGGTTCACAAAGAGGCTTTCCTATGGCCAATCTTCACTAGACAACGACGATTCTTCCCCATTGGAACACATTAAACAGGTTTCAATGTATTCCAATGGGGAAACGCTTTTCGCTAGACAATGATTTCGCTAAACAGCAATTTCAGTGGAACGGATTATCATCGTCTAGCGAGGCACCACTGTACATTCCCCAAAACTCTGTGCTACTTACTCCCATTTTTATGTCTGAGGAAGTGGACTTGTCCACAAAAGCTCACATTAAAATATATCAATTCATTGTTTTTCTTTCGGCTTTTCGTGATATGCTAGTACAGACTAAAGGGGCAACCACTTGTCCACAAAAGCTCACATTAAAATATAGCAATTCATTGTTTTTCTTTCGGCTTTGCCTGCTATGCTAGTACAGACTAAAGGGGCAACTTCCAGGGATGTTGGCAAGTCTTTGGGTCCGAGTCCTGAGTTCGAGACACCCCCCGAAAAGGAGTGGGCGAGTGGGTAGGTTCAAAAGCTCACATTAAAATATAGCAATTCATTGTTTTTCTTTCGGCTTTGCCTGCTATGCTAGTACAGACTAAAGGGGCAACTTCCAGGGATGTTGGCAAGTCTTTGGGTCCGAGTCCTGAGTTCGAGACACCCCCCGAAAAGGAGTGGGCGAGTGGGTAGGTTCGTCTTTGGGTCTGAGTCCTGAGTTCGAGACCCCCCAAAAAAGGGAGTGGGCGAGTGGGTGGGTTCCAACTCATTATTCAAATCTGAGTCATTGAAGAAAACCCTGAGTTCAGTCTGAATCAAGTCCACCTGGACAGGGAGTCCCATAGCTCCAGCCTCTACCCTAGCTACCTCTTCTAAAACTATGCAAATGAATTGCTGCACTATCATTTCCCATCTTGCTGCACACTTTTTATAGTGACAAAAAAAGGGGGGGGAGCCAAGGTGGGTTTCTTTTTAAAACAAATTTTATTGATAACCTTTTATACCAGAAAAAAACAACAGCCAATCTATCTGCATAAAAAGAACAAAGGTGGGGGGCCACTTTCACCTGAACAATGGCTTCCAGTTTAATGAGCCGTGGCTGAATCTGCCCAGCCCCTCCCTAGGGGGAACCCAGGCGTCCGGGCTCCACACTTTTATTTATGCGCATTGTTTAAAAAGCCACTGACTGCTTGGGCCTGTCACATTCCATGAAAGTAAAGCGTACATAAAATAAAGGAATAAAATTGAGCCTGATTAGCAAGTACATTAATAATTTCACAGGGGGTGGAGGAATAGAAGCTAGGACTCCTGAATTCCCCAGAAGCAGAAAAGTAGTTTACAAAGAACCGTCAAATTTGTTCCCCCCCCTCTGTGAGGGGACAGGTGTGTCACGACAGGTATGGTCTTCAAAGCCCGGCTTTTGTCAGTGAAAGTTTGGGCGTGAGGAGGGATGACTTTACGTGGCCAACAGCAAAGGGAAAGTTGTGACGTGGCACATACCCGGCCAGCTTCACGCCCTGCCCTGGGCAATCTTGGCCGACAGGTAAAGCCGCTAGTCCCTGAGGAGGCCACCCAACTGCGCCACCTGGCGGCCGCGCGCGGGAATGGAGGCACAAACCTGTGCTCGAGGTTAAGACCTCGCGACTCCCAACTCGCGCCTGCTGCTGCGTTCCGACGACCGCCCCGAGAACCCAGGCGTCCTGCTTTCCGCCGCTTGCCGGGAGGGATCAGGGAAACAGCTGAGCAGCCAGACGGAGCCCGGGGGAGGCCTCCCACCGGCCCGGCGTGTGGGGATTAGCCGGGGCAAATCCTTTTACTGCGAATTATCACATGGTCCGTTTATAAGTGGCTTGTTGCCTGCAAACCTCCCGAGGAGGCAATCAGGAGTAGGAGCCCAGGAGCTGGGGCGGGAAGGGAAGGGGGGGCGCCTCCTTCTGCCCTTTAAAGGGAAACGCGCTGCCCGGTTAGGATGCGGTGCGTCCCGGGCAGGGAAAGAGGCAGAGGTAAGTCCGGTAAAGCGGGGAGGGCGCGGGGGGGAGAGAATCCGGATTGGAAAGACAAAGTGGTGGTGATGGGGGGGGGTCGATCGTCCACGGAGAATCAGAAATCGGGGCGCTTTGGGAAAGTGGGTCGAGTAGATCCCCAGACCAATATAAATTTCAGAGTGAGAAGGAGGAAAGAATACTTTATATGGGCTGGGGAAGTTTATACGGTTTTTTTTTGGGGGGGGAAGAGGCGAAGCACCGTCTCTTGGTGAAATGGGATTTGACAAAGCGAAGAGCGGATCCCGAGAGCCAGGATCGCTGGAAAGGGATCTCTTTCTAGAGCGCTCCCTTTCCTTTTAGGGAGGTGGATTCCCGGCCTTGAACAGGCAGCAGTTGGTCAGGTCAAGTGCAAACGCCCCCCCCTCAAAAATCCTCCGGCATCGAGCTGTGATGGAGGAAAGCTTCTCCGGACGGGTTTCTGCCTGTGGTGGTCGGTTAGAAGCTCGAGAGTGGCGGGGGGATAGAGAGAAGACAGTGGAAATTGGAGGTCTAGTATGAGTGTGTGGGTGTCACACGGGACGTGGCTTTCCTGCCGTGGAAGAGGATTTTTTTTGGGGGGGGGAGAGAAGCCAGCCAGGACAGAACCGGTCCGGGACGCCCCTCCCAAGGAGGCGGGGCTTCGGGCTCAGGTGTCGGCCAGGTGTGCTATATTAATCTCGCTGCCCTTTGCTCCGGGTGGAGTGACGGAAGGGCAGGTGAAAGGCAGGTAAAAGGGGGTGGCTGTTGCAGCCGATGGGGTGGGGGGAGGTGTGCCCCTCTCCTCTAGAGATCTAAGGCTGTCCAGGGGAAAGGGAGGGGGGCACCTGAGGGTGCCCCAGAGGTTTGCAGCTGGTTGAGATCAAGGCTCCACCTCTACTTCTTCCAGGTGAGGTCCAAAGTCTGCCCTGGAGAGAAAAAAAATTAACTGGGGCTCTTCCTGGGTCTGCTTCTGTTGTGGAGGGAGACTGGAAGGCATGTAGTTTGCATCAAGATCGGGTCTGCTTCTGTTGTGGAGGGAGACTGGAGGGCATGTAATTTGCATCAGGATCGGCCCAAGATATTTTGCTGCCTGAGGTGGATCAGCAAAATGCACTTCTTCCCCTTCGGGATTTGTATGGTACTCGCAGCTCACCAAGTTATTTAGGCACCGCAGGAAGAAAATCTGCCAGGTGTGGCTTTCTCTTCCAGGTAACAAGAAAAGAACAAGGTGTAAGCAGTTTGCTGGCTTTCTATGATACTCTGTGTGTGTTGCCTGGGGTGGCTGCCTTGCCCTGTCAAATGGTCGGGCCGGCTTGGCATGCACCAGATCTTAGATGTATTCTTCTGAGTATCCAGGAAGAAAGATCAGGCGGGATGGGACGGGTCCAGCAGAAAACTGGGGCCAGCCACTAGCAGTCCAGTGTGAGAAGACAATTCTTAATTTATATAATTAGTCGTCTGGGGCCAGGGTTCAGAAAAGTTTATACTTTTGGGTTATAACTTCTAAAAACCAACCAGCCAAGGTGGTTGAGGGTTTCCTTAAGCTGCAGGTTTGTGTATTTGCATGCTTGTTTTTAAATTTAAGGAACTTTTAGCAAGTCTGGTTCTGGTATAAGGTAGTTTCTCTGTTCCTCTCTGGGCAAGACTGAAAATGTCAGCAAAAAAAAAAAAATCCGAAAAGTTAATTATTGAATGGCTGGATAGCTCAGTGAGTGGTTCAGGTCTCTGGGGGTTGGGAATTCGGTTCCCACTGGGCCTCCTTGACCTGGGATGGGTTTCATGATCCATAGAGCCCCTTCCCACTCTTCTGCAAGACGATTATTCTTTAGCCTGTAAGAGCTGGAAAGTTCATGCAGTTGCCCTGCAGAGCCAAAGAGTCTGTTGCATTTTAAAAGACTTAACAAACTGGGCGTGGGTTTTCATAGACAAGAGAAACCTGCTTTGCCAGGATATCAGCCTCCTCAAATTTATATTTAAAATACATGTGTTAGGATTTTTGTTTCCTAAAGCACCTCATGCATCTGGGTTGGCTTTGTGCATTTTAAGGAGGATCTGCCCCTGGGGACAGACCACCGAGTGCTATCTAGGCTGGGGGGTGAGGAGGCGCCTCTTTCTAGGAGAAAGCAGATTAATTGCCCCTCTGTTGATCTCTCTCAGCCTCTGAGAAATCGATCTGCCATCTGCGCCCTTCCTACTCTTTGAGCTTCTTGATCCTGGGACAAGGCAGAGCTGGGCTTTCTTATCCATCCTTCTGGTTTCCCCGAGACCGCCTTTTGCCCTTTGGAATTATAGCCACCAGCCCATCTGTCATCCTTGGAAGTGGGGGGGGGGAAGGTTCTCTCCAAGACCCCCTCCCAACACATTGGCTGGTGCTTCACTGATGCTGCCCTTGCTTGGAAGGCATTTGAGGCCTTGAAACAAAACAAAGCCCTGGAATTGACAGTGCCTTCCATTACAGACCTAGGCTCTTTTAATTTGCCTGCAGCGAAATTTTGCAGCATGGAAAGTACCTGTTCAGGGTGCCAGCCAAGCCACTGTTCCCTTTTCCAGTTAGCCTATTCCATCTCTCTTCCCCACCGCCCAGCAGCATTTTATGCTCAGTCCTCATAGTTGTGTGTGGAGAAATCCCCCAAATCAGCTTGTCCTTTAAGAAAAAATCAACCTCAACCTTTAACCCATTGTGTTTAACCTACCGATTGCTCCCTCTTGTGTGTTTTTGACTGTGTGATGATCTACACAGTAAGAACTGCCTTTGCTATTAGTACTTGTATGAACAGTGAATTCCAGACACCTGACATTAAAACACACATGGGCTTCTGGATTGCACAGTAATAGGGTTAGAACAGTGAGTAACCCAGGTGTTCTTGGGCTACAACTCCCAGAAGCCTTTACCTGCAGCTGGGGATTCTGGGAATTGCAGTCCAAGCACACCGGGATTGGGAAACACTAGGTTAGAATATCAAAATTTAATAAAGTGAAAGAAAATCAAAGCAATAAGTTTGACAAATGCTTCTTTTTATTTGTGCTTGCTACCTGCCTTTGACATTGCATAATGTGCTGCCCAACTGATTTAAAAATGGTTGTTGTGGGTTTTTTCAGGCTCTTTGGCCGTGTTCTGAAGGTTGTTCTTCCTAACGTTTCGCCAGTCTCTGTAGCCATGGGCATCTTCAGAGGACAGCACTCTGTGCTCTGGTGTAGTTGGCTTTGGGAGTGCACTCCCAAGCGCCCGAAAACCCCCCAACAACCGTTAGATCCCGGCCGTGAAAGCCTTCGCGAATACATTGATTTTAAAAATATTCAATTAACAGACACTGTTCCAGTACTGGTATTGTACTGTGACTCTAATGATTTATATGTTCAAAATGTGGGCGTGGTCTTCCTTCCAAAAACATCATTGTCTCCTTTTAATAACAATCATGTTCCATCAAGTCAGTGTTGACTTACGGTAGCCCATTTCAGGGTTTTCCAGGTAGAGAGTACTTAGAAGTAGTTTATCCTTCCCTGGTTAGTCCTTCTTAATCATCACACCTAGGGAGAGCCATTTTGTCCCAGCCCTTGGGAAACTGAACAAACATGTTTAACGTTTCTGCCCAGCATTAAAGCATAGAATACTCAGAAGTGGTTAACCCTTCCCTGTTTAGTCCTTCTTAATTGTCACACCTAGGGAGAAGCATTTTTCCCCAGCCCTTGAGAAGCTGAACAAACATGTTTAACGTTCCTGCCCAGCATTAAAGCAATGTGTACTTTGTACACATTGCTCTCACATATCCCAGCTGTGCGGCAAAAACATCCTCAAAACAAAATAGGCTGTGGTTGCCATATATGTCTTCCCCAGGCACTGTGTCCCTTTGGGGGATAGCTCAGTAGTTTAGGTCTCTGGCATCAGAACTAGAGGTTAGGAGTTCAATTCCCCACCAGGCCTCCTTGACAGGGAAGGACTCAGGGATCCAGAGGGTCCCTTCCAGTTCTGCAGTTCTAAGATGACGGTGATGATGAAATTCAATAGGATGTACCTTTTGAAAGGTACATGAGAAGGGAAAGACTCCCTGGAACAGACCCTGATGCTGGGAAAGTGTGAAGGCAAGACGAGAAGGGGACGACAGAGGATGAGATGGATGGACAGTGTCACTGAAGCGACCAACATGAATTTGACCCAACTCCAGGAGGCAGCAGAAGACAGGAGGGCCTGGCGTGCTCTGGTCCATGGGGTCATGAAGAGTCAGACACGACTTAATGACTAAACAACAACAAACCTTTTGAAAATATGAGTACAGAAGTGGGTTGGAGTTCAGAGAATAAATTTGGCCAATGTCATCTTTGCCTCTCTTGACTTGTGTGAAGAGGTTGCAGTTTTGAAACAATTTAAAAATGAGGGGGTTAGAAAACAGGCATTCTTCATTTCTTAAAACACACACACACACACATAGTGTCAAATGAAAGTACTCGGTTTGTTATGTTTTGTGTGAACCCCTTCCCTTTATAAGGGCAGCGTGCATGCTTTTCAGAGCAAACCTGCAGAACGTGCTCAGCCGAGAGGGGATTTCACCCACAACCCCACGAGTCTCTGCTCCAGTCAGTACGTTTTTCTGGCAGTTTTGGTTTGCTTTCAAAAAGAAAACATAAAACTGGGTGGGTGTATCTTTAAATCATAGTCCTTCTCCTAGGTAATTCCTGGTGTGTTGTGTTTGGGCAAGTGTTCTTGCCATTTTCTTTGCAGATGTTAATCTTAATAAATCATATGATCTAAGGAATATGGTTGGGTGCCCTTTAGCGTGTCAGACTATCCTGAATCCGCTGTTTGACTAGCAGTGGCTCTCTTCAGTGTGATGGAGGCAACGAGTGTTTTTTCTCATCACCTCTTGTTTGAGCCATTAAGTAAATTATAACCTTGGAACCGCAGATCTGGAAATAACCCTGTGGGTTATTGAGTCCAGAACCTGTCAAGAGGTCATGCCGGGGGTGGGGGAATCAAACTCTTGACACCCTGGCTTTGCAGCAAGATGCTTAAACCACTGAGCTATCCAGCTAATCGGACCTGGGAATTTCAGAATACAAATGAGGGAAGCACTATTCTTATAGCAGCCACAATTCTTAACTTGGATGAATTTTTCTCCTGTTTATAGGAAAAGATCCTGAAACAAGGAGACTGGTGCCTGGAAATTAGAGGAAGAGAAGATATTCAGACATTCAACTGGCCAGAATTAACTAGTCCTGCAAAGTTTCCAGAAGTGGAAGCATTTATATCAAAGGATCCAGATTCTAATATATTGACTTTGGAGCTGATGTAATTCCTTTGTTTTATGTCCAGTTTCTAGCACAACACCCCCCCCCAGCTTGGAAACGGAAATCATCTGGTTTGTAGGAATCCAAAGTAGCTCAGGTAGTTTAATGCAAAAGGGATACAGTATTTGGAATGAACAATCACACTAGAACTTAAGGCTTTCTAGAACTAGAGTAGAAAAAAATGCCACTTTAAAATAGATTATTATCTAAATACTGGCTGAGGTTTTGATGTTTTATGTTTGTAATCTTTGATCTGAGATTATTATTTCTTCAATAGGATTTCTGGTTACTCAGGTATCTATAAAACAGTTGTAGAAATAGCGGAAAATCTGCCCATGGTAGATTGTGATCAAGGAGATGTCAGAGATCTAGAGAGAAATGTTTGGATTCAATTGAGGTCAGACCAGAATCCGGAAAGAACAAATAAATCGAAATTCCTTGGGGTAAGGTAAAAAGAAAAGCTTTATCCAGGAACGAATGCGAGATGCTAGGTTTTCAAGAGAGGAACAGGACCCCCTAATAAAAAAAGTCAGATTTAGAGTTTGTTTTCTAGGGATCAAGAAACAACATCTCTCTTAAGAATGGATCAGGTGCCTAAACTCAGGAAAAAAACTCCTTCAAGGCTGTAGAAGTTCCAGATTTCGCTATTATTTGTAACTGCCCAGAACTACACGGAGGATTGGTGATCTGAGAAGAGCTGAGTATATAGAATTCTCTTTTTTCCCCCCCTCATCACTTCCACCTTCATGGATAGCCCCAACAATTTCTGCCGCCTGTGTGGCACTGTGCTGCGTGGAAACCACCGCCGGTGGCTTTTTGGACGTGGCAGCGGCACCGCCCGCCCCGACCTGCTCGTTGTGCTGTCGTACGTCCTCAACCAAGAGTCCCCCCAACGAGGCGATGGCCAGGGAGAGTTCCTGTGCGGGAAATGCGCCCAAGCCTTGGGCAGGGTGTACCGCTTCGACACCGTCATTGCCCGGGTGCAGGCCCTCTCTATCGACCGGCTCCAGCGCTTGCTTTCGGAGAAGGACCAGCTGGCCCGCTCCCTCCGTTACATCCACGAACGGCAGTTCCCGGACAACAACAAAGCCTTGGGGTCTCCCTTGGGCCAAGAGATCTCTGTCAGCCTAGCCGACCTGCCTCACGTGAGGTACCAGCGCCTCCTTCAGGATGACATGGCCCTCTCGGAATACGAGTGCTGGGCCAGCGACGCCGACAGCAGCCGGGTAGGCACCCCGTGTCGCAACCGGTCCTGCCGGAGTTGCCACGGGCTCCGGGTGGAGGATTCCGACTACGAGTGGGTTTGCCGGACTCCGAGACGGCTGGGGGTGTCATCGCCCGTCTTCCCCCTCTGCCGAGACAAGTCCCAGAGCATGCCCACCGTGCATCGGGCCAGCTCCCGTCTCTCCCTCAGGTCCCAGAGCCTGGGAGATGCCGAGTCCTGCTCCATGCTGTCGCTGGATATTTTGCCAGAGGCAGAGGTGGCCTGGGAGGCTCTGGGGGCTCTGAGGGCCATCGGAAGGAAGCGGCTAAGAGCGCCCGTGGGAAGTAAGATCCCCATCCTGGCTGGGAACGGGCGCTTGCCCACGCCCCGGAGGGAGAGCCCCTTGGGACAGGAGGCCTACGAGGAAGTGGTGGACGAGTTCGTGCCGCTGGAGTTGAAGGTAAGACGAAGAGAAGGATGGGAAAAGTGAGACCTTTGCTGACTTTTCCGAACATTAGGTCCTCCTTCTTAGTTCTGTGATATTTTAGCACATCCTGAATGTTAAGCTAGAGACATGGGGAGGCAGGTATTCCTCCTCCTATTACAGACTCAGGGCATAATTAGAGTGGCCCTCAATTTGCAGTGTACAGTGGTGCCTCACTAGACGATTGCTTTATTTAATGATGAATTCGCTTTACGATGAAGTTTTCGGAACGATCTTGTGCTTCGTTTAACAATATTTCCTATGGGCGATTTTCGCTTTACGATGTTAGGGACCTTGCCTTGCAAGACGATTAAATTTTAGATCCCTGTTTTTTGCTTTACGATGTTTTTGACAGCTTGGTCTTGCTTCACTATATGAGTCTTTTAATGGTGTCTGTTTCGTTAGACGGCTGTCTTCGCTTGGAAACCGCGTTTCGGTTAACAGTGTTTCCTATGGGAATTTTCACTTAACGATGACAATCTGTTCCCATTGGAACGGATTATCAGGTTTTCAATGCATTTCAATGGGAAAACATGTTTCGCAAGACGATGTTTTCGCTTAACAGCGATTTTCACGGAACGATTAACATTGTCTTGCGAGGCACCACTGTATTGGGTGCAGATGAACTGGCTGGATAATTCAATGTTTTAATTATGTGGCTGTGGAGTCAGAGGCTGAGGCTTCGATTCCCCACTGCAGTGCCTGTCTCGGTAGAGCCAGCCTGTGTGGCCTTGGGCAAGCTGCACAGTCCTAGGAGAAGGGAATGGCAAACCACTTCTAAGTATTCTTTACCTGGAAAACCCTGTTGACAAGGGTCACCAGAAGTTGACATTGACTTGATTGCACCTGATGATTATTATTATTAGATACAGATGAATTTGCGTGAAAGCCTGGTGACTACATGACATAAAAGTTTAGCAGGCGGAAGCCTGTGGTGGAAGTGTCTCCTCCTCCTCAGTGTTTTCCCCGCTGTGTGGTCACACCTTCAGCTTCGGTTCAGATTCCAGAAGAATAATAAGCGTATTAAATGAAATGATAATGCTAGCCTAGCATATCTAAGCGCACATGGGAGGGGGGAGGTTCCCATTTTAATTTTAGTTTAGGACAATGAGAGGTACAGTCCAACAACACCCACAAGGCTCCATGTTCTTAAGCCCCTCCCCGAAGGACTTTCCCCCTTTTATCAGCACCCTTAAAGGCTGCCCTTCATAGGGTTTCAAGGTCTTAGACTTGGACCAAGAAGCGGGGCAAACCTTTGCATTAGGAGACAGCCCTTGATAGAGGAAGGAGGCGGGGTTTGTGATGGAGGGGAGGAGCTCAGTGGGGACAGAGGTTGGAAGTGACTAATTGACATATTTGTTTGCTTGCAACTACTTTCCACAGTCACAAAAGTGTAACTAGATTGCACTTCAGTTATATGATAAAGGACAACTTCACTTTCCTTGCATCATGTTACTTGTTAATTCCTTTTATAGTTGTGGGATGTTGCCTCATAGAATGATAAAGGAGGAACATTGCATAGTCTAAGTGCTGCTGAATGAAGAACACACTTTTTTAAAAAAAGTAACTGTTTCGTGTACTTTTATGGAACAACAAAAGGCGTTTTTGTTTTGCTTTATTTTAATTTTTCTATAGAGATGGACATGAATTAAAAAATGAATAACCAAATTCGTTTAAAAAATCACTAATTCACTGATGTGTATTCGTACGAATCGGCAAAAATCACTAATTCATTGATGTGTATTCATACGAATCGGCGCCCCTGAGGAATCACAAATCAATGAAATTTTAGTTCTTTTTTCATTCATTGCTTTGTTCGGCTATAAAACAGCCCCCAAGGCACCTCCAGACACCAAAGCTGCTGGGGAAGCTTCCTCTGACTCTCCTCTACATTCCAAGTGTGCTAAAGATTGATTTCAGATGTCTGAGTTATACACCCCCAAAGAGGTCCCCCCCGGGAAAGTTCTCCCCAGGCACCTAGAGACACAAAAATTACAGAAAAGCTTCCCATGACTCTCCTACAAGTCCCTCCAGGTTTGGTGAAGATCGGGCTTCCCCAAGCCAGCTGCTAAAGGGTACTTTTCAGGGGGGACATTTTGTGGGTGGATAATGTGGATGTCTGAAACCCAATCTTCACCAAACAAAGAGGAGAGTCAGTAGACACTTTGGATGTCTGAAACCCAATCTTTACCAAACAAGGAGGATAGATACTATTCTGTGATTTTGGTGTCTTTTGGTGCCTGAAGGGGGACTTTCCATGGGGTGGCTCTCCTTGCGGGTATATAACCTGGACATCCGAAACCCAAACTTCACCAAACTTGCAGGGCTTTTTAGAGGACGTTTCCCTACAAATGTGGTGTCTCAAGGTGCTTTGGGGACAATTTTTATTGGGTTTTAAAGTAAAAAAAAAGCGAATTGATTCGTTGATTTGTCTTGGGTTTTAAAGTTAAAAAAAATGAATTGATTCATTGATTTGTCTGAAAAAAATTGTAAATTCATAATTTGTGATTCGTCCACCTTGATGAACCACGAATCAAAATGAATCATTATTTTTCTGATTCATGCCCATCTCTATTTTTTTTCTAAATTACAGTTAAATTGCAGTATTGCATACTATAGGATGAAGTGAACTACAGAAGCATTCGCCAAACAGAAAATAGCGTTGTCCGCTCGATTCGTCTGGCCTTTGCTTTGTGATTTTACTCCTTATCCCAGAAAGCCTGACAAGAAAAGTAAACCTAGAGAATTTCAGCTGAGACCCTGGAACTGCATTAAAAGCCTACATAGTCTGTCTGGGATCTCAGGAACCCTCATTTTCGGTTGAAGGAGCTTTCTACTCTGCTTCTTCCCCAAAGCTCAGAGCTCAGCAGACGTTGCATCAGGACCTCAGCGGAGCTTTTGACAACCTGAAAGAACGTCTCAAGGCTGCAGAAGAGGAACTGCAGAACTTCCAGGAGAAGGAGAAAAAGGCCACCATTGAGGTAAGCATCCTTCTGTTTTGGTGCCTTCTAAGGATGTGCTTTGTGTGTGTCTGTGTTTTGGATAACTCCCAGAATTCTCAAAGAACTCCCTGGGCAGAATTCTGAGAGTTTCAGATCACAGACCCCACACCTACAGACACCTACATTTTGCTTACCTAATGCAGGTCCTCCCATGGAGACTGCGTGGCCTTCTGAGGTCTCTGCTTCCTGTTGTTAATGTGTTTTGTTTTGTTTTAAAGGGGAAACTGCCACAGTGCTGAACTGGAAGTCGTAGTTTTGCTGCCTGTTGGGCTCTATGGATGGAGCCTTCTGAAGAACAACTCCCAAGAGCAACTGTGGCAGTTTCCTTTTGTGTACACATAAACAACAGGAAGCAAGGCCGTAACCCCAACCTTGATCCTGCTGTTACCTCTGTTCAGTGAGTGGAGACAAGAAGTAGGAAGCATTCCACAGAAGAATTCCCCCACTTGGAGAGGTCAAGTGGCACGCAACGCGGCTCGCTAGCCACACATCGTCTCCAAAATTCTGAGATGCGCAAAGCTGTCTCTAGCAAGGCAGCAGCTGAAGGAGCATCCTCCATTTTTCCTGCCCCGCTTGGCGGGAGCAGTTTTGGGGTGGGGGGAAAGAGGAGGAAAGCCAGGTCCTCAAGCATTTGAATTATAGAATTGAAGAGCTGGAACGGATCCTCACCCACCCTGGGTCATTGAGGGCAGAGGGAAATGCTCCCCCTTTCTAATTGCATACCAGAAAGATGGCGAGGAGGCAGATCTTTCTCTTTTTAAAAAACCTGCCACTTCTAGAATATCCTTGCCACCAGAGCCAGTGAATTTTTGGGGAGCTGATAGTGAATGAAAGGAATGTTACCCATCCTCTGGAACGCTGGCAGCAGAACAGCTGCCTTTCCCTCATGTCAGGGGAGGAGCCAACATACCAGTTTTGGGAAATGTGAGAGGAGGTACAGTATATATGGCACATACAGCTCGGTCCTGCATAAAGCTGGAGGACTCGGGAAGAAAGACCATCAAAGAAGCTGCTGTTGCGCCTCCCAGCGGCCGACTAGCTGAGGTTTTTGGTTCACTCTCCCTAACAGTAGGGCCGGCAATGATGAGAATTCATGATTGAGTTAAATGGGAGGGAGCGAAACACGGTCTGTTGTTTCATGATTCCTCCTTTCTTTTTCTCCCCTTCTCGTCGCTTCTAGGTGGCTGGAGTTCCCCCGGAAAAGACCGCAAGTAGCCAAGAGCGGCTGCTCCATCAGTTGACAAAGTGTCTGCAAAGCAAGGAGGGTGCGTTACAGGTGAGGGGTGTGTGTGTGTGTTTGTGTTTGCACAGAGAGAAATAATTGGCATTTCAGGATGCAAGTGGTCCCTTCTTGTCTCCCAAGAATTCCTTTCTTCCACATGCGTGAATGAATAAGGATTCAGAAGAGGAAATGAAAAAGTCCCAGACCGCTGCTTTTGGCAGCATTCCTGGGCCCTTTTAGCAACTGAATTTTTTTGTTTTTGGAGCTGAAAATGCAGTCTTGGATGCTTCAAAGAGAGAGTGGGGTTTTGCCTGCCCGAAGCCATTAGGAAGCCCAAATTCAAATCCCCATTCATAGTCATGGAAGCTTTGCTAGCTGCCCTTGAGCTCCTCCCACCCTCACAAGGGCTGTGGTGAGAATAAATCAGTGGAAAGAACTCTTGTGTGCTCCCTGGAGGAAGGTGGAGAAAACAATGTACTGAATGAACTGTCGTTTTAAAAAATAAAAGAAGTGGATTTGGTACTCAGGAGTGTGGTTGACCCTTTCTGTCTCCTGGAGGTGTCCTGGGACAGTTGAGCTTGCCCAAGACCACCCAGGCTGGCTCTCAAACTCCGAAAAATGAATAACCAAATTTGTTTAAAAATCACTAATTCATTGATGTGTATTCACATACCTAAACCACTGAACTATCCAACAGCAATAGGAGGAGTGATAGGAAAACAGGGAAAAGGCTCCAAGGCCTTTCAGTATGGACCTCTACAGTATGTTCTCCTTTTCTTTTCCTCAGGACTGTCTGGTGGCCCTGCAATCCCTCGGGTCTCCAGGCATCAAACCTTCCATGTTGGAAGCCCTGGTTAAGCAAATGGCACAACGCTTGAAGGAAAGAGACCAAGCTTTCGAGGTAAGGCCCGTGGGCAAAATATAGGAAGCTTCCAGGGAAGTGACTTTCTGAGCGAGAGGACTTACACTTCCATAATCTGGCCTGAGACCCTCCTTCCGGTCAAATGATGGGGGGTGAAACCCTCCCCAAAGGGAGGCAAAGAGCCTGCTCTCCCTCCCTCCTGGTTTGGGCATTTTCATTCCCACCATTCAACCTGTGGGGGGGTTGGAATTCTGGTAAAATGATGGGAGCACAAAATCCTTTAATTTTGGAAGCTCCTTCACCCTGCGACCTTCCCCAGGGGCTTCAGCCCAGTCTGTGGTCAACGTGTAGAAGCGTTTGGGTTATAAACAGAAGATCCTTCACTTCTCCAGTTAAAAGATTCTGTGGTTGGCAAGAGCCACTCCAGGAAACTCAGAAGAAACTGCTGGGAGGAGTGTTGTCATCTTCACATCCTCCACCGTTAGCGGGTGCCATCTGAGGCGGTTGCCTCACCGTTTCTAACCATGAGGCCATCTCTGTAAGCAGGAATGATTCAAGCTTAGAGCTCTAACTGGCTGGGTGGAACAAGCAGGGACCGATTTCAGTTTGTTGTTATTCCGCCCCCCCCTTTGCAGTGATATGACCCACTCCCTGGATCAAGTCCAAAATGTTCATTTTTTAGCCTGGGCAGAAAAGGACACAGCTAGAAGGAAATTTTGGGGAGTCGGAAACGTTTGCTGATTTCCCTGCAAAATATACTTACAATGACAATAAATTATTATTATTATTATTATTGTTGTTGTTGTTGTTGTTGTTGTTGGTATTGGTATTGGTATTGGTATTATTGTTATTAGTATCATCTTCTTCCCATCCCAGTTGTAGGCTAGTGGTTTGCCTTGGTGTAATCAATAATCATGGTGTGCCCTCAAGTCATTTCTGACTTATGACAACCCTTTTCAGGATTTTTTTAAGGCCAAGGGTACTCAGAAGTGGTTTACCCTTCCCTTCTTCTGTGGTTGCCCTGGGACTCTGCAGCTTGGTCAAGGTTACACAGGCTGGCTATTCTCCCAGCAGGCATTGTGGGGAATCAAACTCCCGGTTTCTGACTCTGCCACCAGATACCTAAACCACTGAGCTATCCAGCCAGTGCCTTGGTATAAACGGGGCTCAACTATGGCTTCTGATTTTCCCACCCATTTTGTCCCTCTCACAGAAGGCCTCGTCCAGTCACCTCCTGGCCTTGGAGTCTGTGCATCGTGAGGTGAGGCACCTCCAGGAAGCCCTCAAGGATAAAGATGCTGACCTGGCAAGACTGAACCGTGCCCTCTGCACTGGAGAGGAAACCCTACATGTATGACTGGAGCAGCGAATGTTGACATAAAAGGGAGACGGGATGGTGGGAGGTGGCCTCACAGTGGTGCCATGGGGTTCGCAAAGCTAAGCCAAATCCTGAATTTTTTCCCCTGTTGACAAGGCTAGAAATGTGTGTCCTTTTTTCTGCGCACATGAAATTTTGGAAATAGTAAGGCAACATGGAACAGAAATTTGGGATGTTGGCTTTCTTTTGGGGTGGAAGAAACCCAGAAAAACTCAACTTGTTTCTAGCCCTCGTGCCTGCAGAGATGTGTTGACCTGATACTGTCTACCTTATGGCAGATACACGTGAGGCAATTTTGATTCATGCTTTCATAAAAAATATAGGGGCGAGTGTGATACTGTGAGGCAATTTTGATTCATGCTTTCATAAAAAATATAGGGTACAGTGTGATACTGTGTGGTATCATGGGAACTGTAGCTTTAATTAATTTCAGTCAGAATCTTTACTTTTACTCTTTCTTTCTTTCTTTCTTTCTTTCTTTCTTTCTTTCTTTCTTTCTTTCTTTCTTTCTTTCTTTCTTATATTTTTAAACCACCCTTCTGACCAATGGTCACTCTACACAGTGTACAGAAGAGAGCAATAAAAACATGTGACACACAAACGAATAATCCAATCAGAATAATAAACAGACATAATCAAAGCATAATATTTACATTTACAGTTGATTGAATTGGGTCAAAATCAAATTAAAATAAAAACCAAACCCCATTTTCACCCTTCCCCCTTTCACTATGTTAATCATAAAACCCATGTGGCATGGCAGACTTTGTTTTCAAAGATCCATTATTGTTGGACAATTAATCAGGATTTTTTTCAGGGTTAGATGGATAATCCCGGATACAACATGTCTGCTGAGTGAGCAACCGGGGGTTTTGTGGTTGCTAGGAGACGGGGGGGGCCTGATATGCTATAGCTCTGGTTCTAGGACAAAAGGAGGAGGATGAGATTTTGAGGGTACCCTCAGTACCCACGGGGGTCTTGTTTTCGTTGGGTCATCTGCCTTGTTTACCTTCTGCCGTCATCTGTCTCTCCCTACAGGCTTTGCGCGAGGTGCTGCGTCAGAAGGATGAGGAGACCCAACGCCTGGAATCCCTCTGTACCTCGACCCGCGAATCCTGGCAACAGCAAGAGCAAACCTTGCTCCTGGCTTTGAAGGAGAAGGAAGCCTTAGTCAAAGCCCTCCAAGGAGCACTCAGCAGTAGCACGAAAGATGTGGAGGTAGTTGCTGCTCCCCGCACACGTTGATGGAGAGTATAAGGGCCAAACAAAATGTGCAGAAACTTGTCACAGGATGTAGGCCTTTCTGGACTCAACGGGTTTGGGCATCAGAAAAGGAAAAGGGGGTTTGCTCCCCCATTGTTAAAACCGCACACAGTCAGTTGCTATCATAGTTAGAATTCTAAAATCAGCAAAAAGTCTTGTGAGTCATACCTTGCAAACTTCCAGGTGTTATTGTACCTTAAAAATTTAACACGTTTATAATGTTTTTGTCAACTGAACACTGGAGGAGATTTTTTTTACATGGAGCTGCAATTGGTAAAGATTTGTGCTGAATAAATCACCTTACCTTTTAAGGTTCCATAAGACTTAATATTGGCTTTCCCCTCTGGAATTTTAGAATTAGCTCTGTGCTTCCCCCATGCCATGAAAATAATCAAAATAGTCCTTTTTTCAGTCTTTTTAAAGTCAGTTTTTAACACCTTGGGTGACTCAACTTACAAGGTTAGAAAAGGGAGACAGAAATTAAGCAAACAAATATCGCCACAAGCTGTTGTTGTTCATATAGAACAATGCAGAGGGTGCCTGTCTTCTCCCCACTCGCGTCTTCAACATGAGTTTAGTGTGACTCCAAATACTCAAGAAGTTGTTCACAGACCCAGATGCCCTTAGGTAAAGGTTCCCTTTGAAATTTAGCCCAGTCATGTCCGACTCTAGGGAGCGGTGCTCATCCCCGTCTCCAAGCCACAGAGCCAGCGTTTTGTCCGAAGACAGTTTCCGTGGTCACGTGGCCAGCACGATTAGACACTGAATGCCATTACCTTCCCACCGAGGTGGTACCTATTTATCTACTTGCATTTCTACATGCTTTTGAACTGCTAGGTTGGCAGGAGCTGGGACAAGCGACTGGAGCTCACTCCACTGCGTGGATTCGATCTTATGACTGCTGGTCTTCTGACCTTGCAACACAGAGGCTTCTGCGGTTTAACCTGCAGCGCCACCACGTCCCCTCAGGTGCCCTTACATTAATCATTTAGGATAGGGATGTAGTTTTAGAAGAGGTAGCCTGTTTGTCTCTGCTAGCTTATTGGGCAGAACCAAAAGAAACATTAAAAACTAAAGAAGCAAAAAACATTGCGGCACCACCATAAAGAGTAATTGCTATGTTTTAATGTGAAATTTCCTGAACACACCTGAGGAAGTGGACCTCTCCACAAAAGCTCACATTAAAACATAGCCATTAGTCTTTAAGGGGCCACACAACATCTTTGTCTTCTTTATCTTTTCTTTTTCTTTTGGTTTTGCCTATGCTAGGATATAGAGCAATACTCATAACTCCATGTTTGGAATTTTGACTGGTCTTGAAAGGACCGTTTAAATATTTTTGAGACTAATAATAAGG